ATTTTTCTCACTTATTTGTGGAATTTAATGAACACAATAAACTGTTGAACAAAATAGATCTAGAAACACAGAAGTAGAGAACAGAATGACAAACCTCAGAGAGAAGGGAGATGAGGGGGTGGGAAGAGATAAATCAAAGAACTTATATGCATATAGGCATAACCAATGGACACAGACAACAGTATGGTAAAGGGGGAGGGGTGGGATAGGGGAAGGGGATGTCAATGGGGGAAAACAAAGGAGGGACATCTGTAATACTTTCAACAATAAAGCTATATATATATATATATATAGAGAGAGAGAGAGAGAGAGAGAGAGAGCAATTTGCAAACCTAACAGCACTATAAAAATGTAGTTACTTTTATGATTGTCCCAAAATAAATTTTTACTGTGCATAAAAAAAAGACTAAATTAAATATAAGGGCTAAAACTATAAAACTCATAGAAGAAGACAGCTTCATTACACTGGATTTAACAACAATTTCTTGTATATGACACCAAAACCCCAGGCAACAAAAGTTAAAACAAATAAATTGGGCTAAATTTTAAAACTTCTAGAAAAGTTAAAAATGTAAAAGTTTTAAAAAATTAAAGCTGGAGAAAAAGAAGTACATTATATTGAAATAAGCGATATTATAAGTTCTGAATGTTTTCAATTGCACCATTTACCATAAGATTCATAAATATTAAGCTAATAAACTGAATTCAAATATTTTTAAATTTGACTTAATTTAATTGATACAGCAGCCCAGAAAGGCTCAGATACCAGCAACTGAACAAATTCCTCACAAAGGGCAGAAAACACAGGGCATATTCTCTCCATCCTTTGGAGGAAAATGACAGTCAAAATAAGAGAATGTGTAATGATCAAATGAATATCCTAAAACCTTTCATTTTTCCTTTTATGAGATAAGTGCACTTGGAATCTTGTATCATGTAAACCAAGCACACTTTTCTCATTAAAAAAAAATTGCAAGGACTACTAAAATTACAGTAGGCTAAATTTTTAGCAATCTCTCAATGTAACATACTTCTTAACAAAATTATGGTTCACTGAAAAAAATGAATAAAATCACATATTCATTTCCATGCAAAAAGCTTTCAGAGCAACTTGATCATTGTAAAATGTGGGAAAATGCCATATAAATGCATAATTTTCAATATCTTCTTAACTCTATGAGATACTGTGTAATGCTAGGAAAGGAGAAGGTGTTGTTTTATTTTTGCTTTTTACCTTATTTTTATTGTTGACACTATTACAGATGTCCTCATTCCGCCCACTCCCCCCCTTGCCCACACCCACCCTGCCCCGCCCCCCTTCCCTGGAAAAACAGGATCAAAGTAGGAAGCTGAGACACAGAATCTTTGTTGTCATCCACCTTCCCAGCTCCCTCAAGCAGTTACCACCATAAACCTACATGTACATGGTGTACATAGATGAGCTTGGTCTCATCCCACCAGCTTCTACCAAAACTAAGTTATTAGCAGCATATCTGAATGCATAATTCAAGTACTGATGCAAAAGTTCACCAATTCAGACTCTATTAGTTCAAACTGTATACTAATTTTCTTCAATTTTACACATTAAAATTTCTAAATGACTCATTATCCTGAATCTTTTCAGTAATGAGTTCAAATATTAATGTCTAAAATTATCTTTTTTTTCAAAACTACTGTCATATTTTAAGAATTTGCTTCCTCTAATTTGTAAATTTGAAAACTCTATAAAAAGTAAGCAGATGAGACTATTCATGAATGATAATTTTCAACTATTCAAGTTAGTTTTATTTCATAATATGTACTTAAGCTTAAGTTATCAATACTTCAGTAATTAAATTTATTTTCTTTAGAAATTATCTTGCTTTCCATTAAGTCAGACTAGCTCTGCCTCCATTATTTGGAACAACTAAGATTTTAATATCCCTGTATAGGCATATACATACACATAGTTTATTACCAAGTTTTATACCATGGTCAACGGATATATTCTTCTAAAAGTTGGACTATATCATTTGAATAATTTATAAGTATGACAAAAACCAAAATTACATTATTTTACTGATATTGTTGAACTAAAGCAATTATTTGAAAAATATATCTAATGAAGTAAAATATTGGCAAAAGTCTGTGGTTTCAATATTCTGACTATCTGAATACTGTATAGAGGCTCCACCTAGACGTTAATAAAAACTTTGCATATACATGTTCAAATATTTATATTTCTTATAAAATTCCATAAAAGCAATAATCAAAAGCAATAGTACGATATACACATAAAAGATTAAACAAGTATAACAAATAGTGATTATCTGAGGGGACAGAGTGCTGTTCCTCCATTTTCCATTTTTTGGTAATTTTTTTTTAAATCCTCACTTGAGGACATTTTTGCATTCATCTTCAGATAGGGCGGGAGGGAGAAAGGGAGGAAGAGAAAAACATCAATGTGAGAGAGACACATGGAGTGGCTGCCACCCGCACGACCCCAACCAGGGCTGGGGGAAAAACTGCAACTGAGGTACATGCCCTTAGTGGGAACCGGACCTGGAACTCTCCGGTCTGAGGGCCAACACTCTAACTGCTGAGCCAAACCAGCCAGGGCGGTAATGCTTTTTTATAATTTATGGAAAAGTATATGTATATATTTTTAAGCATCAATCTCTGGCATCAAGAAAGGAATTACAGGGGCAAACCAACACCCTTGGGTTCATAGTCACACTAAACCTGGAGAGATTTCACATTCTTCAGCACACAATGAATTTTTCATCAATATTGGAAACTGCCTTTGTGAGAATATTTGCTAAGAATGGATGGCATTCTCAATGTTGCAAGCACCCACTTCTATTTAATTATTTAAAAGAACAATACATGAATGACAAATTTAAAATGTTTCTTGAGCCTGGCCAGGGTGGCTCTGTGGATTGAGCATCCCCCCATGGACTGAGAAGTCCCTGGTTCGATTCCCCATCAGGGCACATGCCTGGGTTTTGGGCTCAATCTCCAGTAGGGGGTGTGCAAGAGGCAGCCAATTGATGTTTCTGTCTCTCTCTCTCTCTCTCTCTCTCTCTCTCTCTCCTTTCCTCTCCTTCTAAAAAAAATCAATAAAAACATATTTAAAAAATATTTTTAAATCTTTTTTGAATTCAGAGATATTTAAATTACAAAAGAAAAGACCTAAATCTAACATTTTCTCCAGAGCAGTCAGGAAGATCAGATTGAGTATGTTAGCTGTGGGCATGGGTACACAACTGCTTTGCCCTCAAAACTGTTAGGAGAGAAAGACAAGTTTCATATGATCTCACTTATTTGTGGAATATAATGAACATAACAGTTTGAGGAATGGGGTAGTGCCAGAGACACGGAAGCAGGGTACAGACTGACAATCCCCTAAACAGGGGGGAGGTGGGGGAGGGATGAACCACAGAACTTATATGCATGTATGTATGAACAGTGGACATGGACAACAATCTGGGGAAAGGGCAGGGAGGGAGGAGGAGGGGGGAATCAGTGGGGGGAAAAGGAGAAACATCTGTAACAAAAATTAATCAATAATAAAAAATAAAAAAAACTGTTAGGGTCAGGGTGGTGAACACACAATATAGTGTACAGATGATGTGTTGTAGAACTGTGCACCGGAAACCTGTATATTATTGTTAACCAGTATCACCCCACTTCATTCAATAAAAAGGGGGGGGGCTGTTAGAGTTGTCTTCTCCTTGGCCAACTAATGATGCTAAGTCTACTTGACTAATAAATATTATTTAATTGTTTGCATGTGTGTGTGTGCATGTATTGCTCCACAGGAAAATAACTTAACCAATAATGAAATGAACATGATCTTCATTCTTGGCCCACCCCAAAAAGAGGTGCACTTTTGAATGGAAGACTATAAAACTGCATAAAGATAATATAATATTGGGTTTTTAAAAAAGCACGTCTCAAAAGATCACATACAACATGATACCCTTTCTATAAGATTAAAATCAATAAAAATACATATACTTTGGAAGAATACAAGGAAATAAACACAACTTCAGGATAAAGATTAGCTGAAATGAGAGAAGACTAAGAGATGGATTAAAAATAAAATAAGGTTAGATTACTACCAAGGATATCATAGTTTACTACAGAGCTTTTGTTTTGGGTTGGGGATTCCCAGGCGATTATGATATTAATTTTAGATGATAGATAGATATAGATAGATAGATAGATAGATAGATAGATAGATAGATAGATAGATACAGATAAAAGTAGACCAACTATAGACCAATGATGACAGTGTGTTATGAACCAAGAATTACTGAACCTGAAATGAGATGGCATGAAATGACTTGACATGATATGAAAAGAAATGAAAATAAAAATGGTTTATAGTTTGTAGACTAACACACAACCTATGATCTCTGCATCAACTCAAAAATCACTCATCCAGGTTGTATAATTTTCTGCTTATACCTCCCTAACAATTTTCAATCATGCTGCATAAAGTAAGGTGTTCTCCATTGAATGTGAAACCTTGTGCCATCACCAATGGACCTCCTGCTCAGAGAGTAGTACCTACACAGCAGGCGGGAAAAGTAGCGGAGCAGAGGAAAATGCTGCTGAGTTATCTACTGACTCTCCGGATTAGGGCTGGCAATCGCCAAAGCCTCTGAATGGGCAACTGGTGATTCTCATTCATTCATTCAATACTTACTAAATGTCAACTACATGTCAAGTGTCATGCTAACCCTGAGATCCTTCTTCGGACCTTGGATTAAGACACTCCTAACAAATACTTGAATAAGCCCATCACCTTCCAGACAGCCCAGAATCAACATATTCCTCAGGCCTTTTATTTAGCTTCTTACACAAGAAAACGGTAAAGCAGCTCACTTTCAAGTAAGGTTATACGGGCTTCCCAAAGTTAAAAGATGTGAAATCTCTATTACCAGAATTGAGGAGGGAAAAACTGTGCCTTCAACAGATGACATTTCATATGAGTGTGTTGCTATTTGTTTTACCTGCAATCTCCAAAAGTGGGTTCATGTGATCTCCTTCTGCCAGCTTCACAAATCCAACATGGTTTCCAAAGGTGTCAACCCCTTGGAAGGGCAAAGTCAAGTGTTTCCCTTGAAGGATTTCTTCTACGAATGGTTTTAATTCCAAAAGAGCATCAATACCACTGGCAAGAGATAATATATTTTTCAGTAATACACTAAGTGATAAAATATATAAAACCAAACAAGAAACAAATTGATGTTTCTACTAGTTACCTTAAAGCACAAAATACCTTCAAAATCTATACTATATGATTACAATAAAACTAAGGTTAATTTTAAAACAAAAACTATGAAGTGAATTAAACTTTACCTAATTATAATTTATATCATATTAAAGACATGAAAGAAGATACTATTTTATAGTTCACCAAAAATTTTAACCAAGGAAATACTGCCTGCACATTTTGGAAAAATAATTACTGATAATATATTGCAAGAAACCTAATACCTATGAGAGCTTGCATTAGATTGTGTGGAAAGTTCTAGATTCTTCTTAAAAGTACTAATACGAATACTGTATTTACTATTTGCAAGTCACTCTACTAAAACTTAATATACATTATGTGTTAAAATATAAGTTTCCAGCCCTGGCCGGTTTGGCTCAGCAGTTAGAGCATCGGCCTGCGGTCCCAAGAGACCCAGGTTCAGTTCCCGCTAAGGGCACATACCTTGGTTGCAGTTTGTTCCCGGCCCTGGTTGGGTTGTGTGGGTGGCGACCACTTGATGTGTCCCTTTCACATCGATATTTCTCTCTCTCTCTCCCCTTCCCACTCTGAACAAAATATTGAAAAATGTCCTCAGGTGAGGATAAAAATATATATATAAGTTTCCATAATAAAATAATTTACTGTACTTGGATTCAACAAAAAAGTACATTTGCCAAATGCAACTACATAAGTTTGTTATATCTGTTTCGCCTATGTCATTATAGGGCTAGTCTATTTCAAGTCCTTGATTTTTCCTTATAAAAACAAATATTTACTATATTAATGAATTAGGCATTAGTTTTAGAATATTTTATAAATTGGGATTAATTATTTCCACCTTGAAGAGGATTTTGGTACAGTACTTTATTATGAGAAAAAATGTTAAATCTCACTAGAGGGCAGCAATTACTCAAAAAAGAAGTAAGTACATTCTTTATGTCAAGGCTTTAAATGATCTTGATCAGTAATTTGTTCACTAATAATTATATGTCAAATGTATACAAAAAATTTAGGTATTTTTCTAGATCTTTCATATGTTTAAATTAGTTTTCATATAAATTTTTTAACTGTCATCTGTAGATTCCATACTGAGACCAATTTCTGTCATAACGTAATGTACAATATTTAAAATAGCTCTGGAAATGTCAACATTTCTCATTATACCTCCAAATCCACCTCCTAAACCCAATCTTTCCAAACTGCATCTAGTGCATCCACAAAGACAAAGTACACTCTGCTGCAACACAGTCCTTCGCTGTGTGTTACAAGTTAGAGCACTTCTGGCCATTCTATTGTAAATCAAGGTAATTCAAGATACTAATTTTAAACATAACTATGTACTAAAGCAAGCCACGCCAAAGGTTAGGGCTTTTCAGAGACGGTGAGTTTTCTATCCCATTTTAGGTGATCTAAACTCAGTCCAATTTTTCAGTTCTCTGATTGCATAAATCAATAAATGTGTCCTCCATATGAAGAAATGCTCAACATCACTAATCATCAGAGAGATGCAAATTAAAACAACTATGAGGTATCACCTCACACCTGTCAGAATGGCCGCCATCAACAAATCATTAAACAACAAGTGTTGGCAAGGGTGTGGAGAAAAGGGGACTCTAGTACACTGCTGGTGGGAATGCAGACTGATACAGCCACTGTGGAAAACACTATAGTGTTACCTCAAAAAGTTAAAAACTGAATTGCCATTTGACCCAGTGATCCCACTTCTAGGAATATGCCCTAAGAAATATGAAACACCAATCAGAAAGAATATATGTACCCCTATGTCCATAGCAGCACTATGTACAATAGCTAAGATCTGGAAACAACCCAAGTGTCCATCAGTAGATGAGTGGATAAAAAAGCTGTGGTACATGTACACAATGGAATACTATGCAGCTATAGGAAAGAAAGATCTCTTATCCTTTGAGATGGCATGGAAGGACCTGGAGAGTATTATGCTAAGCGAAACAAACCAAGCAGAGAAAGACAAATATCACATGATCTCACTTATTTGTGGAATATAGTGAACTAAACAAACTGCTGAACAAAATTAAGTCAGAGACATAGAGGTGAGGTACAGACAAACAAGCCTCAGAGGAGGGGGGTGTTTGTAAAGGAAGAGATAAACCACAGAACTTACATGCATGCATGCATGACCAATGAACATAGACAACAAAGCTGGGGATGGGGAGGGGTGAAAAGGAGAAGGGTGTCAATGGGGGGAAAATGAGAAACATGTGTAACAAAAACAAATTAATAAATAAAAAATTAAGAAAAAAATAAATGTGTCCTCATGAAATGTCACCAATCACAGAATAAGTAGTAGTCATAGTGTCTATAATATGTTATCACTAACTTTCAAGTTCTTTCAAATAGGGTATCTTATCAAGAGCAGTTTATGAAAAGATTTCTGTTATGGGAAAATGAGTAAAAAGTATACATATATAGGAAACAGAATTCTGAAACTGGAGTTCAGACCCAAAGACTGTCTTTGAAATGTAGACAGGATAGCCATCCTCCCCGGAAGAAGGAATTCTGCCTCCAGACTGCCCTGGACTTGAGACTGCACCATCAGCTCCTCCCTGGGTCTCCAGCCTGCCAGACTGCCCTGGAGATTTTGGACTTGCCAGCCTCCACAATCACATGAGCTAACTCCTTAAAATAAATATAGATATAGGTAAAAAGATAAATGTATAGGAATAAAGAGGTATCAGTATATCTGGATGTCCACACAGATGTCCCCCTATGGGTTCTGTTTCTCTGGAGCATGCTGACTCACACACCTTTCTAACATACAGGACAGTCCTCTTTTTCTCTAGGGTTTCACCTTGTCGCATCACATCTTCTTCGACTCCTTTTCTTATGAGAGCATCAGAGTTTTGTTTTGTTTTTCTGACTGGCAAAGTGAACAGCTAAAATGAGTCGGGTAAAATCTACTAGCCCTCTCTGCCATTGCAGGGTGCTTAAGACTTGCTCTAGGGTAGATCAGGTTGGGTAGATCAGAAGACTGATCTCTGAAGACATGAGATTCTATTGTTTAAAAGACATAACTACAAGAACCGTACTGTAGCTGCGTATTTTCAGTTACTAATTTATTGTTTTCTCCCTTTTACTTTTACTTTTCCCCATTCCCTTCCTAATTCGAACTTTGTTCTTCTTTCCCTCGGGAGACTCTATGTCAGGATGCAGAGAAGTAACCTTTGATCCATTCTGGCTTTGGTTTTCTGCGGAGCTTAAGCCTGAGCTTACTCCAGAGGGCACACAGGAGGTAACAGGAACAGACGAGCATCTGTACAGACAAGTATCCCAGAGAATCCCGGGGGGAAGAGCAAGGCTTCTCCACTCCAGGGTGGAAAGCAACAATGACTTACACTCAACCTTCATGGCACAGCTCTGGAACTGGGGGTCGGGGAGTCCAGGTACTCTAAGAATGAGTGAGGTAAAACTGAAACTATACTCTGACCTAGCGCAACGGCAGCTCTAATAAATAACATCGAGTGCCTACGTGTGCCAGGACCTGTACTAAGAACTCTTACATGTATTGGTACTATTATTTTCTCCATTTACTTAAAAAATAAATAATTTTCTCCAAAATCAGGCATCTATGAAGAGGTTGTGCCATGGTGTGTTTCTGAGTTTTTACTTAGAATCTTAACTTAATGCTCAGACTCCAGAGGGCTTACATAATCAACATGGGCAAAACAACTGCATCGTCAAGGGCTACCATTTGATAACAAAAACAGAGTGTAAAAGTCCAGATTAGAAAGACTATTTACACAGCTAATTCTGTACACTGACTACTAATACCATTAGAAAGACTATTTACACAGCTAATTCTGTACACTGACTACTAATTGAAATAATTATAATAAATACTTCTTTAGAATTTAAATGCCTTTTGGGTTCTGCCATGTTTATTCGTACTAAAGTAATCGTTTGAAAAACAGTCTTTAAGAAAGACATATTACCCACATGTTTACTTCATCTTCATGTAGCAGCATCACCAGCAGGGTAATGTGAAAGGAACCGACACTGCTCATGGCCTTGGCCAGTCGCTTATCTTCTTGTATTATTGCATTCTGCAGGATCTTAATTCTTCCTGTAATCTAATCCACGTACATACACACAAAATAGAGATCAGGTAAGCAAAATTTCCTTATGGCAAAATGAAAATTAAGACGAAAATTAAGCAACAACCAAAATTAGAAATGCCAAGATTATTCAAACAATACTTAATTGTCTACTTGTTCTCATAAATCCTAATAGATAACTTAGAAAGCTTAATAGGATATATAAGTTTAAAAAATCATACGATGCTTCACCATTTTAAGAACATCGAGCCAACCTTTTTTTACAGGTTGGGTCATTAGTTGAGCAGGAAAGCTTTCAATGGCCATGTATCTCTTCAGAAACGTGTCCTTGGATATACAGTGTGACTTACTATAGTTATGATCTTTCCCCAAAAAAATGTTATTCTTGCACAGAAAGATCAAACCATCAGACAACAGTCCATTTCTGTTGGAAGTCATATTTATTTGTCCCCTAGTGAATGTGTCTAAGAACTCATTCTTCATGGCCTTTAAGATTTTTTAAACCAGCCATAATTTCAACAGGAATGACTACTGACATTTTTCCAGACATGCGAGGGTGGAAAGCGGCAAATAAGTCCAAAAGCGTAAGTTAGAAAAGTCATTAAATTTGCATCCAGGGAAAATCCCAGGTCCCTATCAGCCTTCCCCTCTCACTGCCTACTTGGAAACAAGAGGAATGATGCCTCGTCTTCCTCATTTCCAGTTAGATCCAATTCTAGTCACCTTCTAAATGTGAATGTACCAGAATACAGTTCAAATACAAAGTGGCGAACTGAGCCACACCCTGAGAACAGAGAGCACACAGCAGCCCTGAGGCAGCAGAAGTAGTCGGAGAGGAGAGAAGGGGAGGGGGACTGGCAATCGAAGCAGAGTTGGTAAAAAGACAGCAGAGATAAGGAAACACTGAATCACAGCACAGCACACTGTTCTGATTCTGAAGTAGCCGTTTTATCCTGAACAATGCTCCAATTATCTGAGGAATGTGACTGGGCAAACCATGGCTGTGTCCTGGGATCTGACTGCTCATGTATCTTTACAATAAATCCCCATCACCCAAAAGAACCTCAGCATTTCTCTCTTCCTTGCCATCTGCGAGACAGTGACATAGGAAACAGCATTTGCCTGGTAGGAATTGACACAGTAACACCTAACGATAATATTTTCCTACGCAAGATGTCACTTCTAAGACACCCAATAAAAGAATATTGATGGCCTGATAAGTAAAACACCTTAAATGTAACAGTACACAAAGATTGTACAGAGCCACAGTTTCCTCAAGTCTGTACTGATGAAACTAAATTATAAACTTCTCACGGGCAGTATCTATTTCTTCCACCCCGCCACCTCACCTCAGGGCCTGGCAATAATAAAAACAGTATTGAACCAGTGGCAGCAGTAACTAACCTTACCGCATGGCCATTAGGTTCTCGGCACTACAGGAAGCTTTTTATGTACATTAGTTTACTTAATCCTCTCTGCAATCCTGTGAGGTAGCTATCGGTATTATCTGTACTAAAATTAGTTGAAACACAGAAGTTTTAAAACAATCCGTTTAAGATCATATACCCCAAACAGCCAGGAACCTGGGAAAGGGATAATCTCGGTGCAGGAGAGAGGGGGCGGCACCCAGAGAAAAGCCCCAGGGGTCAGCAGGAGGAGCTGCAGCTGACAGCAGTGGAGTAAGGCTCACGGAATTTGTTTTCAAGGAGGCAAGGGGAGGGTCAGAGATGTGGGTACTGCCTTAAGAAATGAAACACTCAAGGGGAAAAAAGACATTTAAAGGAGAGTTTTAGGAAATCTTACTGGATACTGTGTAAAGGAACAACATGCTGTCTCTCTCAAAAAAGAAAGAACGAAAGCCTTTAGTGTAAGTCTATATTAAATTTTCGATTTGAATTTTGAGTTTTTTCCCTGGTGCAATGAAGTGCTGAAATTAGCTTTTGGGAATAACGAAGCAGCTCAGGAAGGTCCAGGTTCGCATGGACAGGGCCTCAAGGGGTGTGCAAAACTGTCAGACCTCAAAACAGTATAGTTACATCTTCGAACCTCAGCTGATACAGATCATAACTCTGCTTTAATAAATAATGAAAAAGTAGCTTAGGATGAAAACTTTGCTATATAATACAGAGAAATGCAAAGGAAGGGTGCTGGACCTGCCTCAGAAATCCTGGATTTTAACCCCAGGTCTGCCACAGGTGTGACCCCATATAAGTCACTTAGTCTCACTGCGTCATGGTTTCTCCCATTGTAAAATAGGAATAATAAAATGTGCACTGTCTAACTTATAAAGTTGTGTTAAAGATCACACAGTAGAGCCCTGGCCGGTTTGGCTCAGCGGTTAGAGCATTGGCCTGCGGTCCACCCGGTTCGTGTGGGTGGCAACCACTCGATGTGTCTCTCTCACATCAATGTTTCTCTCTCTTTTCCTCCCTCCTGCTCTATCTGAAGATAAATGCAAAAATGTCCTTGGGTAAGGATAAAAAATTAATAAAATAAAATAAAGATCACACAGTAGATAAACCACATAATAGAGGAACCACTTTGTAAACTGTATAGCACCTGCCTAACATAAGGTGTGCAACATTGCCAATATTATTAAAATCAGTGGTTCTCTACCCTGGGCAATTCTGCCTCCCAGGGGACATTTGGCAATGTCTGGCACATTTTGGTTGTCACAACTGAAGGTTTGCTACTTACATCTAGTGGGTACAGTATTGGCTTTTCTTAGTTTTAAAAGCCTAGTTTTCCATTCTAAGCTCAAATACTAATTATATATAAATTCAGGACAACACTCAAATTCCATTCATTTGTATATTCTACATTTTACAGTAATGTCCTACATGGTAAAATAGTTTTAGACCATTCATATCTCTGAATTAGCCAGTAGCTTATAAAGTTGCTAATTAAAAACTGTAAAACACTTTGAAGACTATTTCTCTGAAGTCACACAGTACTTATAATACAGGATTAACCTTAAACCTATGAAAATTCTAAAGTTAATTAATCAAGCAGTATATGTCCGATTGTTCTTTGATGGGCCAGATTAATTTATATATTCCTTGATATCATCTTAACATTTTTAAATGCATTTTATTACTAATTATGTTCTTAAAAGATAAAAAGAAAAAGTATTTCAGAGTCTTGTCTGTATACCATTATAAAATAGTACCAATGTCATTAAAGGCCAAAGGAAACTAATTTTTATAGCCACTGTTTAAAATTCATAAATTCATTAAAGCTTATCTCTCACCATAACCCGCAGCCATTGGTAGTACTGCACAATTGCACACATTAAAAACCTAATACTATAGAGTCATATTCAAATATGGCATTGAAAGAAACTTTTTTAAATAAAAAGCTTAATAAATTCTTAAATATTTAATTCACTGAGTAATTTCGTTGTGTTCAAAGAATAAATCAGATACCCATCTGCTAAGCCTCACCACTAAGCTATATATATTCCACATGCTGAAAACAATGCAATGAGAAAGTCCATTTTTCTATCTTGTAAGCTTTCTAATTGAGTCAAAGCATAGATGAGTTCAAAGAAAATGCCTTCAAGTTAGAGTGCAAGAGGGAGTTGTGTGCATGTCTTTTACCTTATCTTTCAACAACTTTGCTACCTACCTTTTCTCAAAGTTGAATCCTTTCATTTTTCTTGCTTGTCTACAAACATGAAAAGAACTAAAAAATTTGATGATATTGTAATAACTGAAGTAAAACAAAAAATCATCCTCGAATACGAGGATAATTTTCTATATCTACCAAGCATTTAACATACATGATGCTATCAAATCCTTTTCCAATTACATTTCCCAGAAAGAAATCGAATGTTCAAATCTTTCATATTTTCCTAAGTTTAGCAATTTTTGCATTAAAAAAATGCTGAAATACAGAATTAAATGTAACAAAATGCCTTTTAAAACCTCTACCAAATCATATTTTTCCATTAGTATAAAAAAATTATCTTACAAGAAAAGTAATACACTCCTGATCTCAATCAACTTCTGATTTTTCCCTTACATTTTTCAATGTTGATTTACCCTATAATATTGCTTCTCACTAGAGAGCATATAAAATCTAGTCAGTTAAAAAACAGTGAAGACTTATGATAACTCAGTTAAATTATTTTTTTCTTTTTTTTCTTTTATCTTATCCTCACCCGAGGATATTTTTGCATTTATCTTCAGATAGAGCAGGAGGAAGAAAGGGAGGAAGAAAGAGAGAGAAACATCGATGTGAAAGAGACACATCGACTAGTTGCCACCCACAGGACCCCAACAAAGGCCGAGGACGAACTGCAACCAAGGTATGTGCCCTTAGTGGAAACCGAACACAGGACTCTCTGGTCTGCAGGCCAGTGCTCTAACCGCTAAGCCAAACTGGCCAGGGCTATTTTTATATTTGAACTAATGTGTAACTGCAGGTAATGGAGAAACATACTTTCACATATTTGAAATTAGGATATTTTTCTGCAGCCATTCTAATTCATTTTCCAATTCCATTTTTTAAAAATATGAAATCTTGGTTTTTCATTAATAAAGAATTTAAAACTTCTAAAAACATGTTTAAAAATCAAAGATCCATGTAAGTCTGAAAAGTTTTTCTTTAAAACTAGATGCCAACAAGTAGAGGCCAAAAGTAGAGCAACTCATTGTGAATGTGCTAGCTTCCCAAAGCTTGTTTGCAGGTTACTTAATTGGAATTTGGAATACAGTCTCCCATTGAAACAATGTTATAAATGCTGCTGCTTTTCCCAGGCCTCCCCACAAAAGCTTATAAGTAGTTTAAAAAGAAAATTAACATTAGATACTTGAAAACAAACAAACAAAAAAGATACTCATACCAAAGATATAAAATGTACCTCCTAAAGTTACATTCTTACCTCTCAACCCGATATTTATGTTAGCTTTCTATTACCTACAAATAAGTCTCTTGAGAGGGAAACATTAAATTATTTGGTTTCGAGGTCACTGGAAACCTGTCTTGACCACTATTACAAGTTACCCTAGCCCCTCAAAGACAAACAACTACTGTTGAACCTATATCATCAAACCAACATTTGTAACACTGTATTTATTATTTCTAATGTTCTGATTGTAATTTAGTATGCCAGAAACACATCTTCTGCCCCTGAAATGAAGCTATTTTGTGTTTACTCTTGGCTAAGCACTGTTCTAGATACTGGGAATGAGCTGAAAAACTTTGTAAGGAAGATTAACAAGTGTCAAATTGCAAGGATGACCAAAGCAAAGACTTTCAAGTCTTTTGGGGGAAGGGGAAATTGACCCAGTCAGGGTAGCCACAGCTCAGAGGCTGGTGCTGAGATTTTGGCATTAACAAGACCCAGAGAGGAAAGAAAACTCCCACCAGAAAAGGTGTTCCCTGGGGTGGAGGGACCCTCACGCAGAAGGAAGGAGGGCTGAGGGGAAGTCAGCCAGGCAGAATCTATGAATATGGTGAAGGCTGTGTCTTTATCCTAATGCCAAAGGGAAAACATTGAAATGTCTAGGCAGGGAGGTGACAAGTCCAGATTTGGGTTTAGAAAATCATCATTATCACCTCCATTTTACCTGAAGAACCGGAAACTACAGAAATTCAGACACCTGACCTACATCCACAGTCCTTTGTGACCCAGCTGGTCTTCGAACCAGCGGTCAGACTTGAGCCTGTACTCTTCCCGTTTTCTACAGAACATCCCAGAAGCTGAGAACCAGAAACAAAGGGTGCAAGTAAAAACCGCCTTGCAGACAATTCTTCCACCCCCGTTCCTCAGGTCACCTTGGTGGTCTGCATCCTGACTGGAGAGGTGGAAGGAAAGAATGTCTCTACCCGGGTCCTCTCAGTCCCCTCCCCCAGCTGCCCTCCCCCACCGCTCACCCCACCAATCTTGACTGGAAGAGGGTGAGAAACCAGATTGGGGGGGGGGGGCAGGCGAGAAGGGTGATGCAGAGCTGCTGTTCAGACCACCATGAAAGGCAAGAGCAGAGGGGTGAAGAGAGAAAGATAAAATGAAGGGCCTAATGAAAGTAATTCATAGAAGTTTTTAACAGCTTCTACACTGGTTGACCCTGTAGGGGAACTCTCTCTAAGCAACAAATCAAAATAAGGAAACTGGAGTCTCTTTCCCATCCTAAATCATGTCCTTGGGGAAGTCACTTCTCTTACTTCAGAAGTTTCTTCAGGATCCGCTTCTGTCTGCTCCTTAGCAGCACCTTTGACTTCCTACCTCTTCCAATTCCCACAAACCCTTTATTTCAAAGAAAACCTTTCCAAATAACTCACAAGTATTTTTAAATAGTAGTATATAATTGTTGCTTACATTAAACTAAACACTTTTAAGAACTATTTCACTGTTAACCCACTAGTATGTACCATTAAAATCAGAATAGGACTCTAAAATCTTGTATTGTTAGGAATACAATCTACCTTTCTATTTGTCTTCTGTCCCCGGCCAAACCTTATCTCAAAGACTAGTTATTTCCTCAAATGTCACAATAGATTTTTTTTTCTCTTTTGATATTTCTTTGATTTCAATGTTGTTTGATTTTTTTTAAATGCATTAACATTCCCTAGAAACATTTTAGTTAAGTAAGGGGAGAAAGAACCTGAAAATGTGCCTAGTAAAAGATGATAGATAACCAACTAGTAAAAGATGATAGATAACCCACAACCAAACAGAAATTGAGTTCTAGCTCTAAAACTGGGCCAAGATGTAAAAGCAGTCAGTCTTCAGGTAGTATACTTTCATAAGGCATTTTGATTCCTACCTCACTGCTTAGCAGTTTTATTTATTTATTTTATTTTAATCCTCACCTGACGATATGTTTCCATTTTATTTTCAGACAGAGAGGAGAGATAGAAAGAGAAAGAAACATCAATGTGAGACAGACACATCGACGGGTTGCCTCCCGCATGACCCCAACCAGGGCTGGGGATCAAACTGCAACCAAGGTACGTGCCCTTGACCAGAATCAAACCCGAGACTCTTTGGTCTAAGTGCCGATGCTCTAACCACTGAGCAAACCTGCCAGGGCAATCAGTTTTATTTAGATATTGCAGTTTGCTTTCTCAGACAGGTTTTTTATTTTTAATTTTTTTAGATTTTTTTTTTTTATCCTCACCCGAGAACATTTTTTCATTTTTTTGTTCAGATAGAATGGGAAAGAGAGAAACATCGACATGAAAGGGACACATCGAATGGTTGCCACCCACACGACTCAACCAGGGCCGGGGACAAACTGCAACCAAGATACATACCCTTAGTGGGAACCGAACCCAGGTCTCTCTGGACAGCAGGCCAACGCTCTAACTGCTGAACAAAACCGGCCAGGGCATCAGACAGGTTTTTTTAGTGTGGGCTAATTGGCTGACCTGTTTTCCTGTTATTCATACCACATTAATTTTTCAGATTTTTAATAGACTGTTATCAAGTCTGTCATATATTAAGGTCTTATGACAATGACTAACTTTTAAAGAAACGTTGTTGCAATTATCACTACCATAAACAGGACTAAGCTGCTGCCTCTCCCAGCAAAGATTTCAGAATCCTCTTTTCTACTTGGTCACTCCTCTTAGCTTCTGAAAGTCTCCTCTGTTATGGTGAACAAATGCTTAGAAAGGACCTTGACATACCATCTGGCAATACTTTTTCAAGTGGCTTTGCGAAATTGTTTAAATATGACATGTAAATAATATATTTCAAAATTATTTTTAAAATATATTCCATTTAATAAAAATATTCTCTGTATGACTCAACTAAAATGCCACTAAGGACTCTTACAAGCTGAGAAAAAAAAAATGGGCTTACAAATAAGTATTTAGTGTACTTTAAATATAATTTAGAACTTTTTAGTAAAAATAGTTTTTTAAAATATAGCACCTCTTTGTTGGTGATTGGAATGGATAGGAAATAGTTCGCTTGATATCCTTTGTGCTTTTTTTTCTTCTTCATTTGATCTTTACTGATCCATTCATTTTCTTCACTTCTCTCCAAATTTATTTGAGGTACATCAGTAACTAGAAGATAAAAGTCAAACAATAATATATCCAATGCATTAAAACAAAGATAATATAGTCAGAAAAGAGAAAACAAGCACTATATAAGTCGCAATCATTCATAATTGTTATTTTTTAATCTAAAGCAGGAGATGGCAAACTCTTCCTCAAAGGACCTCATAGTAAGTATTCTAGGCTCTGCATATCTTATGGTCTCAGTCAAAACTACCCAAGTCTGCTGTAGTCAAAACACAAGTGAATAGGTATAGCTGTGTTCCAGTAAAACGTTTATAAAGCAGCTGCCAGTGAGCCTCATTGTACTAACCTCTGAGCTAACGCATGACGAGCAACCATTCTCACCCCATGCCACAATTTTCATGACACTAGGAAACATTATTTTTTTATCCATCTGTGTGTGTGTATATATATATTTGTGACTCCTACAATATAACCACTTGCAGCAGTGCCACGCAAAGTTTGGTTTGTGGCCATTGTCACAATATGAGCTCTTTGTTGTAAAAATTAAGAGACTGCTTTAGAAACTTTCATAGCACTTAGGCAAAGTAATTTTGTCTACTGAATTTTGGTTTCTTTTGTTTTGTCTGTTTTTGTTGTTGCTGTTGTTACTCCTCACCCAAGGATATTTTTCCATTGATTTTTAGATAGAGCAGAAGGGAGGGAGGGAAAGAGAGAGAAATATTGATGTGAGAGAGACACACGGATTGGATGCCTCCCACATGACCCCCACTGGGGCCAGGTATTGAACCTGCAACCTAGATACGTGTCCTTGACCAGGAATTGAACCCAAGACCCTTTGTTCCTTGGGCCCACACTCTAACCATGAAGCCAAATCAGGTAGGGCTATTCTGTTGGTTATTTTCAAAACGTTTTTCTAATAATTCATTTTTATTGTCTTTTACAAAAGCATCAGCTGGCAACTAATAGGAAATTTTTAAAAACAAAACTGGTCCTTGGCCAGTGATAATTTGAGAAGCACTTAGCATACTTTTTACTTTTTAAAATCATCTTCAAAAGATTCATTTACAACACCCAACAATTCTAATTACGAAGCTCTGCCCCAGAAATAATCACCAAATCAGTGTGAAATTGTCTCCTTTTTCATAGGTTCTATCAGGGGCTTCTATATGCATGCAAAACTACCATTAATTGAGTTTTCAGGCTGTGTCTTCCTGAACAGTAGGCTACAGTTCAAAATGGAGTGCCTCATAAATAGAGACTTTGTAAAAATACTAATAAAGTTATATTTTCTAAGGTATGATTTTGGAAAGGAGTGGGAGGGAAGAACCACCTTACTTTGCATTTAATTCCATAGGCTGGTTTCATCTTTGGATCAATTCTGATCGACCGCAGTGATCACCTCTCCCTGATGCCTTGAGAAGGCCTGTGGCAAAGTCTGAGCTGAACCAATAGCATAATGTCCATGTGGCTAAGCAACCTTGGCCTTACCAAGCCTCTTACTTCACATATGATGAAACACAAAAGCAGAAACATTTTTACGAATTGACCAATATCACAGAGTTGAGTCTAGTTAGACCTCAACTATGCTAGTATACTTTCTACTGGATCAAACTACTTCTCTGTTGTGGTTCTGCCTAAGTAGTTATTATTATATACAAAACCAAAGAGAAATACTTGTCTTTATTCTGGTGTTCTTTATAATAATAGTAAACAATTTTAAATGAATGTCGCAAATAGTTTTTTAATGTTAACTTCTAAGAAAAATAGTACAGTATGTTTACAATTTTTTTTTTATCCTCACCCGAGGACATTTTTCCATTTTTTGTTCAGACAGAATGGGAGGGAGAGAGAGGAAGAGAGAGAGAGAGAGAGAGAGAGAGAGAGAGAGAGAGAGAGAGACATCGATGTGAAAAGGACACATTGAGTGGCTGCCACCCACACGACCCAACCAGGGCCGAGGACAAACTGCAACCGAGGTACATGCCCTTAGCGGGAACCGAACCCGAGTCTCTCTGGACCGCAGGCTGACGCTCTAACCGCTGAGCCAAATTGGCCAGGGTTGTTTACAATTTTTAAACTAAGGGTTTGTAGAAAGAGACATCCTTTCTCTCTGGGACTGACATATATTCGTGAGATCTAGAAGACAAGGGTAAATAAAAGCAAGGTGACCTGGGTAATAAGTCTGATTGTATCACTGTGAATTAAGGCAAAATTACTTGGCGTGCTTGCATATCAATTTCACTACTACATTGATTCATGTGGTTAAAATGATATATTCACAAACAGAGAACATATTGGAAATATAAATTACAATTTGTTTCTTTCACATATGAGCTTGCTAGAACTTTAACATTCTATTGCTAAGAAACAGTTTGCAACATTCTCATCTGTATAGTGAGCATATCTAAATTGCCTCATATGATGCCACTGGGTTTTATTTCCCATGCAATTTTTTTAAATATGGAAAATCAATGTGTTCACGAGCTACCTATAATTTTAGATATCTAAGAAAAGGCCCCATATCTGATTGGACTAACACAAACTAAATATATTAATTTTAAGCAGAAGCCACAATATAGGGTAATGAAGGACCACATATATTTTTAATCCACTTCTATATATATTTCTAGCCAACTGCATCTGCTCTTAGTAAACTGGTACTCTGAAAATGGAAACCGATCTTAATATAGTTGGGAACCAGAGTGTCTGGGTGGGAACCCCAGCTCCTCCACTCATCTGTGTGATCTTAGATAAATCACACGAACTTTCTTTACCTCAGCTGCCTACCCTATAATTTGAGGATAATAATAATAGGGCCATTTTGAGGATTAAGTGAGTGATACATGAAAGCTCTTAAACTACTTCCTTGTGCAAAATAAGCATTATTAGTTATTATAATTATTAGATATTCTCCAGAACTAAACATAATTAGAGAGATAAATCTGTATCTGCTAAGATCATTTAAGAGATTCCAAAAAAAGATTGAAATGATTTATAAACTATCCATTGTTTTTCATCATCCAGAACACTTGGAAAATGAAAAGTGGCCTTGAACAGTTTTTTAAAAATTAAATATAGCCCTAGCCAGTTTGGCTCAGCGGTTAATGTCGATCTGTGGACCAAAGTGTCGTGGATGGAATTCCTGGTCAAAGACACATACCTCAGCTGCAGTTCGATCCCAGCCCCAGTGGGGGTCATGCAGGAGGCAGCCAATCAATGTGTCTCTTTCATATCGATGTTTCTCTCTCTCCCTCCCTCCCAGTCTGTCTAAAAAAAAAAGAACAAAAAAAAAAAATCAATAGGAAAATATCCTCCAGTGAGGATTAAAATTAATTACATATAATATTGAAAAAAATTTCAAAAGTAAAACACCCATATTTTTATTTAAAAAAAAATTTTTTTTCCTTTATTGATTTTTAGAGAGAGAGGAAGTGAGGAGAGAGAGATAGAAATATCGATGAGAGAGAACATCGATTGGTTGCCTCCTGTATGCCCCACCCTGGGGATAGGGCCCACAACCTGGGCATGTGCCCTGACTGGGAATCAAACTGGCGACCTCTTGGTGCCTGGGTCGATGTTCAACTTCTGAGCTACCCTAGCTGGACAAAAAGACCCATTTTTAAAGTAAAATTCCAATCCAGTTCTAAATAAGTTCCCAATATCCTTCCCCTTATATCTCATTGTCCAAATCGGGACACAGGGCAATGCAAAGCAGCACAGGAAGCTAGGACAGTGAGACTAGCAGCTATCAACCTGTGCCTAAGTGGAAAAGTAATCTACAAAGGGGGAAGGGAGGGCTGCCGGCAAGCCAAGAGCATGACTGTTTCAGTCCTGTAGAGGCAGCACTAGATTAGAAAAGGGCGCCAAGCCCAAAACTAGTCTTCAACAAGCAGCTCTCCATCAAGTTACTTCATTTCTTTATCTGAGAACTTAAAAGTCTGGCCAATCCTTGGAGACATAGTTGATTCTAGGTCTGGAGCGCAAAATGTACCAGAGGAGCTTGGAAATCAAAGACTCCTGGGACCATGTCAGAAAGTCTCTACTCTAGAGCCAATTAAAGAGTCCCCCACATTGGCCAAAGATGAAATAATTTGAACATCAAACAGAATAATATCTTCAGTGATGTGAAGTACATCAAATAAGTTTAAACCCATCAGTTCAAGAAAATAAACCAAAGAAAAATTAAAACCAAAAACTCACAGGTCACCTTTGGAGGAGTCTAAAGAACTGTTTGCTATTCTAAAAATCTGATGATAAAGGGGGAAAATAAATCACACATTTATCCTGTTTTTCCTTATGACCAAATAGTCATAGAGGCAATCAAACAGTTAAATAAGGTAAAGTCCTTCTTTATAGAAATTTTCAGCTAATAAATGCAAAAGGATAGAGTTAAAATGTCACCATTTTGAAATATTTAATAGAGTAATGGATCAACCCAAAGTTCACCAATGAATAATCCATTAGATAGAAAGCTGATAGGAACTTTCATAATGGATACATCAGGTGATAAGGTGGAAAGAAAGCCAATGATCAATCTTAACATCACAACCAAATACTAGGTGCCTCCTGATGTCACACAATAAGAACTTCAAAACACTTTTGCACCATTGTTGTCAATATTCCAAAACTTAATCAAGCCTCCTAATATAACTACCAGTTTACTGGAAATGTAAAGGACAGAGAAAGATGTTAAATGACCATAATAGGGTACTTCTACACAACCTGACTTCTTCAACAATTAACACACACACAATATCTATAACTAAAAAGAGATGACAGGATGTATCAATCAAATATAATGCATAGACTTTGGTTCCTAATTCAAACCAGTTTTTAAAATATTATGACACAAGGGAAGAGATGAACAAACCTTAGAGGGAGGAGGGCAGGAAGAGATAAACCAAAGAACTTCTCTGCATATATGCACAACCAATGGACACAGACAATAGTGTGGGGAAGGTAGGAGAGGGGCTAGAGTGGGAAGAAAGGGGTCAATGAGGGAAAAAGCAGGGGGACATCTGTAACACATTCAACAATAAAAA